TTAAATGGGCTCAGGCTATGCATTTTATTTTGCAGTTTGCTTTTTCCACACGTCTTTGAGACTTTCCCCTCTCCCCTGATATCTGTAAGAATATATTGGTCCACAGTGTTCTTTCTTCAATAAATCCAATAATTTCTCCTTCTGCAAAAACTCCCATCATTTCTCCTCGTGACCAAATCCTCCCTCAGGAAAGACTGATCAGCGGGGTCAGACCAAACTAAACCCATTGATTCTGACTCACAGTGACTCTGCAGGACAGAGCAGGACTGTCCAAATGGTGCCCAAGGCTGTAATCTTTACAGGAGCAGACACATGGTTCTCCCTCGGAGGACCTGTGGGTTGGACTCAGTGACTTTTCAGTTAATGACCTATTGTTTAACAACTGTACCACAGAGCCCCTTTGCTGGTTCACAGACAAACACCCAAACCCACTGCCACCAAGTTCATCCCAATACTCAGTGACCCTGTAGGACAGATCAGAACTGCCCACAGGGTTTTTGAGGCTATAGACCATCCTGGAAGCAGATGGCCTCATCTTTCTCCTGAGGTGTAGTTCATGAGTTTGAGGCCTCATCTTTCTCCTGAGGTGTAGTTCATGAGTTTGAATCTCTGACTTTTAGATTATCAGCTCAACTAGTTCATACTTGGGTGTGAATGACTGATGGAGTGGAAGACTCATGAAACCAGGAGATGATATGTAGTCAGTTCTGGCCCTGACCAGAGAGGTGAACAGTTTTGAAGGGGAAATTGATACTTACCTCTTACTGGGGTCCTGCTGGGGGAGCCCCCCCACATTCTCCACATCTCTGAGTCCTCAAGCAGGCACTGGGATTATCTGTGAGGCAGTGAGAGGCGGATTAACTTTTCTGAAGTCACCCAGCCAGGACTGGGCAGTGCTGGGCCCTCATCTGTTGGATGTGAAGGTTGATTTCATCACGACTTACCCCAGTCAGCCCTGTGCAAAGACAGAGGCAGGTGAGAGGCCTGGTGAACTGCGAAGGACAGGCCCTGAGCGTGCAGAAGGGCAGCGACGGTGAGGGAGAGAGTTCCTGAGACCCCTTCAGAAGAGGGTCATCTGCCTGCCTGAGAGGGGTGGACAAGGAGAGGGGGGAGCCCTGTTGTATGGCACGCAGTAGGCACTCAAGGTCTGGTGTTTACTGAATGAGCACAAGGTGGACCCTTTCCAGGTAGAAAGGCCCCATTTCCAGATGTTGGGGACATAGTGGTTTTCTCCTGTTCTGGCCAGACATTGGGAGAGGCTGTGAGAGACAGTGGGTACATCTGAGGGTGGAAGGTGGAGTAGTTAGCTAAGCCTCCCCATATCTATGATCTGAGGACCTTTATCTTCCTCAGGCTCCGTAAGACCCCATAGTCATTCCTTCCCCCTCCTCTTCCCAGACCACACTTGTAGCAACGCTAAGGTAGGAGTGGAGATATGTGAAAACACAGGCCCCCTGTGAGGTGGAACTGAGGGGTCTGCTTTGATAGTGGGGGTGAGGTGAGGGGAAGCCTTGCTCTGCCCCACCCCTGCCAATCGAGTCACCTTCCGTGTGAGGACAGAGCCCTGGTATAAGACTGCTCACAGCTCTCCAGCATGTTCTTCTGGGAGACCCGTATGGACCCAGGCAACTCTTGAAACAGGGAATCTTGTGTCCATATTACAAATGAGGAAACTGAGGCTGGGAGAGGGGACAGGGTCCCTGCAGGGTGTTTCTACCCATGAGGGGCTGAGCAGAGCCCAGCTCAGGTTCTTCTCATGGCAAAGCCAGCCCCAGCGTGGCCCAAGACAGGCCCTGGGCCTTTGTTAGAGAAACAAGGGACCCGTTCTCCCCCAGCCCTCCCCGTGCTGACTGGCACTGCCAGGCCCTGGGCCCACTCCTGCCTCCTCCCACCCGGACCCAACTGAAGTCAGATTGTTCCCAACTGGGGAGGGGCTCCCCCAGTGCCGTGTGAGAGAGTGTGCGGGGGTGCAGCTGTGAGGGGAGTGGATTGGTGGGTTGGGGTCAGAGCCTGTGACCGTCTGGAGAGCTAGTGTGTGGAGGACGGGGGCAGGGCAAAACCAGGGAGCCCCAGAGAAGGGGGGTGAGGCTATGGGTAGAGGCCACTGCTGTGACCCTCCTGCAGGATTTAGGTGGATCAGGAGATGGTTCTTCCTCCCTGGGACTGTTGGGAGGTGAGCAGACACAGAGATAGTTGATTCACTCATCACAGGCCTTCCATTCACCACAGTCAAGTTGGTTCCAACTCACGGCTCTCCTCCGTCAGGTTACCAGGCTATACGACTTCATGGGAGGACACTGCACGTTGGATTTGAACTGCCAACTTTTTTGTTAGCAGTCTGATTCATTAGGACCAGAGCTCATTAATTATGGCCTTGGGGAGATAGAAAAGGGAGGAAGGCAGGCAAGAGAGGCCCCTGAGAACAGGAGGGAGTGATGTTTTCTCACTCTGTAGGATAGACTCTTGGCAGTAGAACTCAGTCGGGCAATCTAGGGGCTTGGGCTCCATGCCTGGTCCCAACACCTCCACCCCAGAGGTGCAGCCTGACACAAGCTGGTCTCCAGCCCCCCTGAGCATGGACTGGGAAGCCTGTGGTTAAATTCCCTGCCCTATTCTCCTCCTGCGAGCCTCCACATCTCCCTGGTCCTCCGTCTCTTCTTACCTATAAAAGGAGAATAACTCACTGCCGTCAAGTCACTTCTGACTCATGCTGACACCCTTCCCCTCCACCCCTCGTTGATTTTTTTGCGGCTGTAAATGGAAACAAGAGATTGCCCATCTTTCTCCCTTGAAGCAGCTGGTAGCTTCAAACCCCCAGGGATGTGCCACACGGCCAGAGCTCCTCCCAAGGGAGAAATATTTCAGGAAAAGTATTCCACCCCCCCCCCCCCGAGCTGTTTGGGGTTACAGTGTGTGGAACAGGAAGGGCTAGGCACACGATAAATACTCAGATTATTCCAGTGATTCTGTGATCTCTCCCCTGTTGGCTATCACCATACCTTCTGCTAATGCAAGGCACTCTGTTGTTGTAGTGGTTAAAACAATTGGCTGCTAACCAAAAGGTCTGTGGTTCGAACCCAGTAGCTCCTCCATAGGGGAAGGATGTCTCCATTTGCGTCCATAAAGATGACTATCTTGGAAGCCCTTTGGGCAGTAGGGCAAGTCTACAAGATCTAAAAACAGTACAACAAAGCAGACTTTTGGGGGAAAAACCCCAAGCTCATTGCTGTTGAGTCACAGCTGAGTCATAACGGACCCTTTATTGGGTTCCTGAGGCTGTAAATAGCACAGGAGGCGATTGGCCATCTTTCTCCCCAGGAGCTGCTGGTGGATCCGAACCACCGAAGAGGCTCTGCCTTGTGTTTGTGGTGAACTGAGACTCAGAGAGGTTAAGGGATTTTCTAAGGTCACTGAGTCACCAGGTAGCCCTTGCTTATCCAGGAAACTGCTCTGCTTCTTCCAATGCCAGTATCTCCACTCCTAACTCCTAATATTTTTCAGGACCCTTGCTGGACCTCTCCCAGAGTCTCAGTCCACCCCCCTCCCCATTGCCATCAAGCCAGAACTGACTCAAAGCTGAACTTCCAGCGGGTTTTCAGAGGCTGTAAATTACACAGGAGGCGATAGTCATCTTTTCCTGAGAAGCAGCTGGCGGATTTGAATCGCCGACAGGGAGCCACCTTTGGATTGACAGCACAGCTCCTTACAGACTTTGCCCCAGAGCATCTCACCTAGCAAGAATCTTAAGCTCAGCCAGTCGAGCCTCTTCATTTTGTTCATGCGGAAGGACTTGGCTGTGCTCACTCACTCAGCAAGGTGGGCTTGGGGACTTTGGTCTCATCTATCTCCCTAGACTCGTGGGTGATCAGGCCTGGTGTGCTAGGTGGTAGGGAGCCCTGTGCAGGCCTGGCAGGACATGGTGCTCGGGGTGACCCTCTGCACATACAGGGTTGTCACTGCCTATCAACTTGACTCTCTCATTTACTGAACTGTAGACTCTCTGAGCTCAGAGCCTACACTTGGCTCAGTGCTGTGTCCCCAGTGCCTGGTCTGTACACCATGGTCATTCACTTGACATATTTATCCAGCATCTACTACAGGCTAGGCATGGGGCTGAGGGACGGCAGTTAACAAGACAGACAGCACGTCTGTCCTTGGGGGGGTTTACAGGCCTTGTGGGAAAGAGACAATGAATGGAATAACCATGTAAACATGCATAGTATTTAAGATGGTGATATGTGAGGTAGAGGAAGATAAAAGAGGACAGGCCATGGGAGTGTGTGTGTGTGTGTGTGTGTGTGTGTGTGTGTGTTGTTCGGGGCTTGATAATTTAAATAGGATGAGTATGAACTGCTCTGTTAAATGCTAAGGTGACATCTAAGCCTTGATGGAAGGGCAGCCTTGGCTAAGGGAGGAGCAAGTGCAAAGGCCCTGTGGTTGGAGCACTCCTGGTGGGTCTGAGGGATTCCTAAGAGGCTAATGTATTTGGAGCAAAAGGGGTGCATAGGTAGGGATAGTCATAGAGGGCCTGTTAGGCCATGGTAAGCACTTCAGGTTTAACTGTGAGTCTGATGGGAACCACAGAGGGCTCTGAGCAGGGGGACACAATCTGACTGGGGCTTTCACAGGACACTGGTAGCTGAGTTGAGAGTAGAATGTTGTGGACAAAGAGAGATGGCAGGGCCTGACTATGAGGAGGTTCTTTCAGGAATCCAGATAAGGAATGGTGGCAGGCAAAGGGTGGTGGAGGAGGGTGAGTCTGAGCTGAGATCTCACAGGATCAGGATGTGAGAGAGACAGAAAGAGAGGTCACGCAGAGTTTTGGGGGGCTGATCACTTGAAAGAGTGAAGAGGGAGTCTCCATTTCCTGCCTAGGAGCTGGGACACGTGGAGTCAAGTCTTAGCGCTCTGTGACACATGGGCAAATCCTTGCCTTCTGGGCCTCAGCATGCCGTCCTGCGCAGCGGGTGCAGGACACCGGCTCACTCACAGCGGCCCTCGTCCACAGGGAGCCCCAGCCCGCCGTCGCCATGGCGTCGCGCATCGGGCTGCGCATGCAGCTCATGCGGGAGCAGGCGCAGCAGGAGGAGCAGCGGGAGCGCATGCAGCAGCAGGCCGTCATGCATTACATGCAGCAGCAGCAGCAACAGCAGCAGCAGCAGCAGCAGCAGCAGCTGGGGGGGCCTCCCACCCCGGCCATCAACACCCCTGTCCACTTCCAGTCTCCACCACCTGTGCCTGGGGAGGTGCTGAAGGTAAGGCCTGCCCCTCACCTCATCCCCACGGGTCCCAGGTACCGCTCCCCCCGCCCAGAGCTTCACCTGCTCCCCTTCCCAGGTGCAGTCCTACTTGGAGAACCCCACGTCCTACCACCTGCAGCAGTCCCGGGACCAGAAGGTGAGGGAGTACCTGTCTGAGACCTACGGGAACAAGTTTGCCGCCCACATCAGCCCGGCCCAGGGCTCCCCGAAGCCCCCGCCTGCCGCCTCCCCAGGGGTGCGGGCTGCACATGTAGTGTCATCCTCGGCGGGCAACAGCGCTCCCAACAGTCCCATGGCCATGCTGCACATCGGCTCCAACCCCGAGAGGGAGGTGAGTGAGGAGCTGGGCTGCTGGGGCTGCAGGCTGAACCGGTGCCACTGCTCTGCTCCTAGGACTCTGCGCTGATAGCAGAGACAGGATTCTTCCCCCAGGGAGCCCTGTCTGAGGGGAGACACAGCCCTGCCCCCAGGGAGCCCTGTCTGAGGGGAGAAACAGCCCCACCCTCAGAGAATCTTGATCTGAGGAGAGACACAACCCTGTCCTCAGGGAGCCCCAGTTTGAGGGGAAGACACAGCCATTTCCTCAGGGAGCCCCAATCTGAGGGGGAACACAGACCTGCCCTCAGGGAGTCCTAATCTGAGGGGAGACACAGTCCCACCCTCAGAGAATCTTGATCTGAGGGGAGACCCAGCCCTGTCCTCAGGGAGCCCCAGTCTGAGGGGAGACACAGTCTTGCATTTAGAGAGTCTCAGTCTTAAAGGAAAAAGGCTACCATCCCTATTTTTGAAAGTTTTGCTAAAGAAAAACAAGAAGCTTTTACATGAAATCCCAGTCCTTGCACAAAGCCATGACCAGACAGGTGTGTAAAGGGAGTTCCCGGATCAAGCCCCCCACCATCTGGGCCAGTGTTCTCCACAAGATGAGTAATGGGTGAAGTGGATCTTAGGTGCCCCAGCTCTCCCTTACCCCTTCTCCCAGCAGTCCCCCCTTAGTGGCCTGTTTCTCTTTTCAGTTTGATGTCATTGACAACATCATGCGTCTGGATGATGTCCTGGGCTACATCAATCCCGAAATTCAGATGCCCAACACGGTATTTCTGACCAGGCTGGGAGGGTGTGCAAGATGGGGTTGGGGGCTCGGGGGTTGGAGAGAAGGCCCACAATGGCTCTGCGATGGGGAAATGGGCAGGGCTGGCATCTTCCTCACAGGTGAGGCTACCCCCATGACAGAGAAGGGTAGCCTGGGCCAAGTACAATGACCACTCAGGGAGGCGGGCACTGTGATTTGGGTGCGGTGGGTATTCACAGGGGTGGCTGCGCTTCAGTGAGGCTTCCTGGGGTGAGGGGGAAAGGAGGTACCAATGATGGGCCTCACTGAGGGAAGGCAGACAGGTCAACATTCTAGAAAGGGAGCCGCATCTTAGTCCCAGACAAGACGGCCTGTGTCCACAGGAAGCCTGGGCTGATGTGTTTCTTTTGGAGGGCTAGGGCCCTCCTCTTTTGCCAGGCCCAGTGTCCCTCCATGGAGTAGGTGCTGGGCACTATCCCTGAACTCGCCCTGGCAGAGGCGAGGAAGCAGGCTTGGAATCAGAAGGCCTGGCCTCAGGCCTTTGCCGTGACCTTGAGAAGTCCCTCAGCCACTCTGCTTCTCTTTCCTTAGCTGCACTTAGAGGTGATGCCATCCACACTCAGGACTGTGGGGTGATTAGATGAGGCAAGGAATTGAGGGCACCTCTGAGTGACAAGTGTTTACACTCACCAGGTGGAAATGCTGGGGCCCCCCCCTCCTGCCCCCATGGTGGTCGTGACCCTCAGCTGCTCACTCCTGCCACTCCACCTGGGCTCCACCTGCTGAGGCTGAAGCCTTGATCCTGTCCCCCTTCCCACACACCGAGGGAAAGTGCCCAGTTCCTGTGGTGGGGCGTCACCTTCGGGCTCCCTTACCACGGTGACATTGCTCAGTCGCTCAGCAGCAACCGGCTGTGACCAGCTGAGTCTGAAGCCGGCAGCCACCTGGGCAGGGAGGGTGGGCACTGGCATCTGTGCACTGTGTACAGTTCTGGGCCTGCGGTTCATGCTGGTTTTATGTCAGGAGCTGGAAAGCGCCAACCAGAGTTCAAATCTGTCCCCATCAGACCCCTGCTTCTGGGAAGCCCACTCCAGAATGCCACCATCTTTGCAAACAAGGCATTCTGAGGCCCATGGCAAATCCTACCCCTGCCCTCATCACACCACCCACCCCACACTCCTGCCCTGCGACTCTGTTGAGTGGACTCCAACCCCTGGCCACCTCACGCGTCTCAGAGTAGACCTGCCCTCCAGAGTGGTTTCAGTGGCTGATTTCCCAGGAGGAGATCTCCAGGCTTTTCCTCCACATGGACTCAAATCTCTCACTTTTCATTAGCAGATGAGCACTACCCACTTGTACCCTGTGCACTCACTACCCCTTGTGCCGTACCTGCCTACCTCTGTCCTCACACAGGTTTCCTGCCCTCCAGGAAGCAGTCCTGACACACCAGCATAGATTAGATGCCCCTGCCCCTTGCCCCGATTACACCTACTGTGTAATCCACAGGAGAAGGGTGGGCAGTCTCCTCCCGTACAATTAATTACCTCTGAAAACCCACTGGAGGGTCAGTCAACAACAACAGTGTGTAATGCTGCACTCAGCACTGGGTTTGATGACTCTCTCTAGTGGTTCCTACCAGCTCTAGACTGGTTGTTTCTGAGGGCAGAGGCTGTATCTGCTCCAGACTCTGCACATTCTTAGCCTGAATGCTGGATACAGAGGCCCAGGTGAATTCGGATATCCCTGGAGCTGACTGTGAAATCCTTACAACAGTGGCACAGTGGACATTGGCTTTTTTTCCAGGGAAAAAAGCTCTTCCTGGGAAACTGGGCCCTATGGGAGACACCCCCCTCCCATCCAGAGGAGGCCACTCACCTGCCATGCCCTTCATCTTGCCCTACAGCTGCCCCTGTCCAGCAGCCACCTGAATGTGTACAGCGGGGACCCCCAGGTTACAGCATCCCTGGTGGGTGTCACCAGCAGCTCCTGCCCAGCTGACCTGACCCAGAAGCGAGAGCTCACAGGTACCACCTCCCCGTGTGCCCTGCTTCCCCTCCCTGCCCTCCCTTTCCTACCTCTCCAGCTCCTCTCTCCTTCTGTCCTGGCCTCTAGACGCTGAGAGTCGTGCCCTGGCCAAGGAGAGGCAGAAGAAAGACAATCACAACTTAAGTAAGTCACGCTTGGTCCCTCCCTGGCCTTGTCCCCCAGCCCTGCCTCTCACCTGAGCTGGCCAAGAGCCCATCCCCTGACCAGCACAGGCTTGAGGAGGAACCCCAGCCAAGTCCAGGCCCTTATTGATGCCTAAAGTTCTCCCATGGCATGATTCGAGGGGTTCTCATGCCTTCTCTCCACCAGTCCCTTTTAGGAGGGGGTTAGAGAAGGGGTCTCGTGGGAAGGGATAGCCATTCAAGAGTGAATGAGTTGATCAGCTTGACTATTTTTAGGGAGTAGTGGCTTGGAATTGGAGTCCTGGAAAGAGTTCTGCATCTCTCACCCAAGTCTTGCTCTGCAAACAGCCTAACCAGGCCTGGCTCTGCCCACCGCACCCCTCACTCCTGTGTCTGGCCTGCAAGCTGCCTCCACTTTGTAGAAATTCCTGGCTGTCCGCCCCCCATTCATCACTTCCCAGAAGGGCTGAATCTAAGCTGCAGGGACCCCGAGGTGGTCCTCCCAGGACTGGGTGCCGTGTCCTGGATGAATCCCACCCCTCTAATGGCTCCCTCTTGAATCTGTTACCCGTAGTTGAAAGGAGGCGGAGGTTCAACATCAACGACCGCATCAAGGAGTTGGGAATGCTGATCCCCAAGGCCAACGACCTGTGAGCTTCTGGAGTGGAGGGAGGGCTGCCCGGAGGGACAGGAAAGAGAGCCCTTGGTGGCCAGCCTTCTGAGAGGTTGTCAGCCATTGGAGAAATAGCTGACCATCTAAGTCAAGATGGCTCAAGACTGAGGGGTCAAGTGTCAGGGACGTCAGTGGTCAGGGCAGGCTTGGTGGAGGAGGGGCAGGCCAGGGAAGTTAGGCCAGGACAGTGAGCTGATGGACAGAAGAAAGGTAACCAGGGGTAGGGGAATGACCGCCAAGGGTAGCCTTGGGCTCTGATGGCTGGGATGGAAGACCTTAAGAAGGAGGCTGCTTTAAGGCGCCAGGTGCCACTGGATTAGTGATCATTGGCAACAGAAGTCACCTGGGAGGGCCTGTTCACCATCATGGAGTGTGTCCAGGTCTGGGGGTGGTGGACAAGGCTGGGCCATGTGACAGAGGCTCCTGCCACCAAAGCTGGGCTCACCTGTACCTGCTGAGTGCCTGGCAAACTTGGCCTCTCTCCCAAGAGCCCCTCTGACGGTGCACTGCTTGCTTCAGGGATGTGCGCTGGAACAAGGGCACCATCCTCAAAGCCTCGGTCGACTATATCCGGAGGATGCAGAAGGACCTGCAGAAGTCAAGGGAGCTTGAGAACCACTCCCGGCGCCTGGAGATGACCAACAAACAGCTCTGGCTGCGCATCCAGGTCTGGCCCCTCACCTTGTAGCTCCTGGTTGTTCTGACCTCTAATCCCTGACCTCACACCCAACCCCAGGCATGATACCCAGCACCTCTGGAATTGAAGACATGGGGAAGATGCCCATGAGGAGGGGCATGGGTCAGTTAGGATGAGCTCTGTGGATCCCCATCCATCCACACCTTTGGGCCACAATTATCAGTGGGGATCTGTCCTAGAGACCCTCATTCTTTTTTTTTTTCCTTTTTTTTCTATATTTTATTAATTTTCATAAACATTTACAGAGATTTTGGGTTTCCATTCATTCCTTGTTTCACTATTCTCTCTACCCTCCTCCCAGTTTGTTCTTGTCCAAATGCCACAGTGCTTGTCAAAGCCAGTTCTGATTAATCTTCTTTGTCAGTGTGTCCTTTGCCATTCCCTATCACTCCTCCCTGAGAGAGACTTCACCCTGAGTCATAAGGAAAAGGGGATGGCGTATTCTCTTAGCTACTTCCTGCTGAAAAGGGACGCTGTGGGTTTCAGGGTGAAGATCTTCTCTCACTACTCTAAAGGGCCCCTTTGGCAATAGGAAACACATAGACTATTATGGAGATTGATTTTGGAATTTAGATGCACTCTTATTGATTGGGCTTGGCCGTGCATGTTCATATCCTTGAAGATGTATCATGGGGGTGTTGCAACCTAGAAGACACAAATTTGACTAACAAGTTATAAGTACATGAGTCCAGAAATTATGGAAAAGTAAAAGAAAAGATTCTTTCATTGTTTTACAAACCCTCCCCCAGGTCCCCTCCACCATGTAGCCCTCGCTCTAGTCTCCTGTGATGACAGAAATACCTAGTTATATATCTCTTTTAAACAGTTTTCTCCCTCCTCTGTTTCAGTGCAGTATACATTATTGAACCCATCTTAGTCTCTCCCCAACCCCAAGGACAGTCCCATTCTACAACAGTGGCATCATGTAATATTTGTCCTTTTGTGACTGGGATATTTCACTCAGCATAATGTTCTCCAGAGTCAACCATTTTGAATAATATTGCATGAGTTCCTTGTTTTTTAATGCAGCATAGTATTCCATTGTGCGAATATACCACAGCTTCTCTAGCCATTCGTTTGTTGATGGGCACTTAGGTTGTTTCCAACTCCTTGCTATTGTGAACAAAGCTGCAATAAACATGGGTGTGCATATATCTGCTTGGATGTCAGCTATGGAGAGACCCTCATTCTAAGACAGGCTCACTGAAGGCTGGCTATTAGTGTCACTTCTGCACACTTTCCTTTGGCCAATGTAAGGACACAGCTACGCCTAAGCCCAAGGAGGCAGGAAAGTGGAAGTCTACCATGAGTCTGAAGGGTTTTGGGTGGGTAGCACTGAGGACCACCATGGGGAGCAGAGGGAGGACTTGGGAGCGTCAGGCCCACCATCTGAATGAGCCCTAGGTTCCAGCCCTGGCTCTGACATGGGATAAGTGTTTTGAAGCTTTTCATAACTTTTTCTCTTGGTAGGTAATATAATTTGTGCTACAGCTCAAGTACACACACACACACACACACTCAAAGTTTCATGAAAAAACACTCATCCTTAATAGGTGCAGTTCATTCTGATAGCTTCAATTCTAGTCTAGTCTAGGCAAGTCTCTTTCAATTAAAGCAGGGAGAGACCGCTGGTGAAGACTCACTAAGTGGTTTCACAACCCACTAATGAGTTGTGACTTGCAGTTTGAAAAGACTTGAACCACCTTGAGCTTCCTTCTGTCGGAGACATTCGGTGGTCCTGGGTGCCATTTAGGGGCAGGGGCGAGGGCTGTGGCGTGGGTGCCAGGGTGGAAGTCAGGGCAGGCTTGGCTGCTGGCACTGTGGCACATGCCTCCAGTCCTTTTGTCTGTTCCCCCTGCAGGAGCTGGAGATGCAAGCTCGTGTGCACGGCCTCCCAACCACCTCCCCATCAGGCATGAACATGGCCGAGCTGGCCCAGCAGGTGGTGAAGCAGGAGCTGCCCAGCGAGGAGGGCTCAGGGGAGGCCCTGATGCTGGGGGCTGAGGTCCCTGAGCCTGAGCCGCTCCAGGCTCTGCCCCCCCAGGTCCCACCACCCCCACCGGCCCAGCCACCCCAGCCGGAGTCCCCATTCCACCACCTGGACTTCAGCCACAACTTGAGCTTTGGGGGCAGTGGCAATGAGGGTCCCCCAGGCTACCCTGAACCCCTGGGGCCCGAGCATGGCTCCCCATTCCCTGGCCTGTCCAAGAAGGATCTGGACCTCATGCTCCTGGACGACTCGCTGCTACCACTGGCCTCTGACCCTCTCTTCTCCACCATGTCCCCCGAGGCCTCGAAGGCCAGCAGCCGCAGGAGCAGCTTCAGCATGGAGGAGGGCGATGTGCTGTGACCCCGGCTGCCCCCGTGACGGGGAACAGGGGCGAGCCTGGGGGGGCGAGCCAGGGCCACTGCCCTCCCTTCCCTTCAGGCTGCACTGGTGTGTGAAGTAGCCACTTGCCCTGCCTCACTCCTCCCTGTCAGCCCTCTGTTTGGACTTAGTGCCAGCCTGGCGACCTGCGGGGTCAGGAGAAGCCCCCACGTCCCCAGCCAGCTCAGTGCCCCCCCAAGGGCAGCCCTCTGAGAAGGGATGGGCAAGAAAGGCCTTTGCCCTGTTTCTGGAGACAAAATCACTAGGGGAAGGGAGAAGTGAGGGGGTGGTAGTGGTAAGAAGAGGTCCTGGGGAGGGGGTCCCATCTTCTGAGCCTGATACTCTCCTTACCCCAATAATGAAGGAGGATTCATTGAATGTTCAGGAGATTCCTTTTCTGAGGCAGTGACTGGTCTGGGGGTGTACCCAGGCCTGCCTTTCTGGGACTTGGATTGCAGTAAGCCTGTCCGTAGCCTGGTACTCTCCCCTCACACAGGCAGGGGGGCCCCTACCCCTCTTTGGTGCTAACAGCTCTCACCAAGCAGCGTGAGGGCGGGGGGGGGTGGCCCTGGGCTCGGGTTAGAGTGGGGTCACTGCTGGACGAGCTGCTCCTCTCCAGGCTTCCCATTTCGTGCCTTTAGTAAACACTGTGCTTTGTACCGGCTTGTCCTGTCTCTCTGGAGTGGGGCTAGGGTTGACAGAGAACGGGGGACAATGCAACTCAATGAGCACCTTTCGAGATTTGGAGATAGGATACCCTTGATTGGGGGGGAGGGTAGGTCAGGGTCGGGAGGGATACAGGGAGGAGGCGGCAAGCGCATCGTCTGGTTCTCCCAATTTCCCAGCCCTGCCCCTAGGGGAAGATAGAGACCTTAGCCTGACTTCCGGGCCTGAGTGGTGACGAGGGCGTTGTTCCTTCCTGTGACCACAAGAGGGCGCTGCAGCCATGCTGGCCCCACACCTCCAGCTGTGACCTGAGACAGCAGAGATGCATATTATGGAGCAGGAAGGATACTTATAAACTGTCCTGAGCTGTTTTTCCTCAGCTGGTGCCTCCTTCCTTGACCCAAACGACTACCTGGCTTGAGATGGACGCTTCTCTTCTTTAGTCCCAGTTCTTCTTTAGTGGTGACAATCCAGCTTCCTCTCCTCACTGGGTGATTTGAGAAAGCTGCTGAATGAACCCTTAGAGCTCTGTGCTCTGCAGGGAAGCGCTAGCTCCTCTGCTCACTTGGGATTTCTAGCAAAATGAGCTTACTAGCAACTGGAGGGTTGTGTCCTTTGGGTCTGGAGAAGGGGGGGCTGATTTGGGAAGAACTGAAGACTTCTTTTTGCCCAGGTGCTGTGTGGCTGCGAGGCTTTGGGCAAATCCTCTACCACCCAGAGTTCTCACAGTAGGTCCTTCTGTTAAAAAATTCTGGGGCTTTATGAACTCGCCCAGCACGGAGAACTAGACTTGGGGCATCTGCTTGAACCCCGGGTATCTGGAGGGAAGGAAAACCAGTTGCTCTGGAGTAAATTCCAACTCATTGTAATGACCTGGTTGGTGTGTAGACCTGTGTTGCATCAGCTTTCCAGTGGCTGATTTTTAAAATAGTTTGGGAGCTCTGTGTGTGTATGTGTGTGTGCTAGAACCTCTAACCTCGTGGTTAGCAGTTACAAATGGAGTGCTGTTGGGTGCCATTTGTGGAGACGTCTTCTTGGGTTCTTAACCCCACTGCTCCCCTTCCTGTTCCGGGGACTTCCTCCTTCCCCCCGCCCCCCAATCAGATGGGAAGTGTGCCTATGCCGTAACAAGGTTTAAAGGGTGGCACATGTCATACAGAAGTATGAAGTCCCAATCATCATGCTTATGAACCGGAAAAGGATCGACTTCCTACTTTCTGCAGTGTATAGACAGATACCAAAAGGGCTTCCTCCGCCCACAGAACTCAGAGAGGCCAAGGGGCTTAATTAAAGAGAAGGAAAGAGAAAAAAAATCCTGGATAAAAATGGCTAAGAGGACAATTTCCTCTGTGCAGAATAGGAGATCAAATCAACGTTGGAACAATTAACATGTGAGGGAAGCGAAGAAAAGGGGCCGGGCAGCTGGTATGGGGCTGAGATGGCAGGATTAATCTCAAGGTCAGACGGAGAGCTGGGTGACCTTGGGGAGCCACCTCCAGTCCGAGGCCCCGCCCACCTCTCTAGTGGGACCTGACTTGTGCTGTTTGGGCAGCGGAGGGGGTGATGACATTCTAAAGGCCTTTCAGGTGGTTGGGAAACACTCTCCCTACTCACGTGACCACTTGGGGTTCTGGGTGCTTCTCTAGGGCTTCCCCTTTCCCTTGGGGATTCACACAGTGGAGTGGAAACCAGCCTGCATGTCCCTCACTCAGCCTCGCAGGGGCTCATCCTCATCCTCTGCACCACCCTTCTGGACTCTTTCAACACAGATTTCACCCTCTGGGGCTCCCGTGGATCTGGGCAGTGGGACATCGAGACATTTGATAGGATTGGACAGGATTGAGGGTGCAAGTTAGTTTACTCCCACGAGAGGGAGCCAGAGGGCCAGGACCCGGCAGCTGCCCGCCCGGGTTGGACGTGGAGGGCTGCGGCTGAGGGTCCACCTCGCGAATCCGGCAGCTTTGGTGAAGGCAGACACGGGTGCTTCCTCCAGCACCAAGGAACCAGAAAATGTTCCTGTGTCTGAAGCTGGCCCTTACATCCCTTAGTTTATGGCTGCATTGAGCCAGCTTTGTCTCCCAATAAACAAGACAGGTTGTTGTTTGTTGTTGCTGTTTTGTGCCATGGAGTCGTCCGCTACTCATAGCAACCCTATGCACACACAGTAGCTCTGAACCCCTTATAAGAAATATGGGGTGTAGGGGAATCCTGCAAAGGCATTCTTCCTACATGATCTTGGGTCCAGGAAAAAATGATTAAAAAAAAAAAAGTGGATTGGATAAATTGGGCTGTCTCGGGCATCCTCCCAGCCTTAACAGTGAGCATAAATGTGCAAAGAGAGTGGAGCCAGGTGAAAAGGGGGGGGTCCAAGTTGGAAGGATGACAAACACTGTAGCTCCTCGGGCCCCTAGTGGGGGACTAACAATATACAGGGTCTGGGAAACGGGGGACAGTAACGGGGAGGACGCAGACAGCTCTGTTCCCAGATCTCATGGTCAGAGTCAGTGTCTGTATTCTGTCCACCTCGGGCCTCTTGTGCAAAGAGGGAGCCAGGATCCAAGCCTGCAGGCTGCGGGCGGGCGTGCTCATGGCTGCGTATGCACGAAGCAATCAGGAAGAGAGCTTTCTACTGCTGTCTGACCCTCTGTCCTCGAGACATTTCCTCTTTGGTTGGTCACCCAAGGCTCTCTGTTTTTAGTAGCCTCCTCCTCAGCCTTTGCAAGTTCTAGATGCCCCAGTACATTTCCCTATGATCTGCTCCAGGGCCAGTGGAACAAGGCAGACCTGGGAGGGAAGCAGGAGCCCAGAGGTCCTGCTCAGAACGTCTCATCACCATCACTCTGTCACCCACCATCCTGTCAAAGGTGGGTCTTTACTGTCCGTGGATACGGATTCCCCCGAGTGTCCGGTACAGAGCACAGATCTTTTCCCACACACACACACACACACACACCCACCCCTAAAAAAAGAACCCAAATCAACTCAGAGCCCATTCTCAACAGCTAGAAAGAGCACTTGATCACCCTCCCACCCTCACCTCATGGGGCCCCCGCCTCTGGGGTCCAGCCCCCAGCCTCCTCTCCGGCTCCTCCAGCCTCATCTTTTTTCTTTGCTCTCTTTTCCAAGGGGGGCAGTGGAATTTATACAATATTTAAGCAGCCAGAGCCGAGTCCGGGAAGATATTATTAATGTAAAAGGGACGGGCTGCAAATGCTTTTGGACCTGGTTACAATTAGAGGGTGATTTTTCTAAAGGTCAATGAATTCAGATAATATCCACAGGGGGGAGAGAAATTTAATACCTTTTTAGTGAATTAATTAATTATAATATTATATCGGCTTGGGGTTCTTTTCCAGAGTGATTAAGGGAGCGATCCGTCTTCTGTGAGGCTGGGGAGCGGCGCCTGCTGCCTGCAAGGACCCTGTCTCAGGGCTCTGGGTGGGGGTCCTTCCCTCTCCTCTCACCCCTGCAGTGGCTGGAGACTAGGAGGGGCTGTCAGAGTGGGATGGAAGGCAGGTGGGTAGGGGGCAGGTATGGTGATTGGCAGTGCCCTTTCCCCTCAGCCTGTGTGGATTCAGCACCCCCACTTCCCACAAGCTAGCTCTCTTCTGCTGCCATGTCATCATACCTTACCTCATACCCTGAGGAGCCCAGTCTTGGGTTATGACTTCTTCCTTTATACCTGGAGAAACTGAGGCCCCTGAACTTCAGGGACTTAACCTGGGGCCCCACTGAGAGAACAGAACTGGGGTTGCATTGCTGACTGGAAATAAGGCTTCCCCACCTCCAAAACCAGGCCTTCTGGAAAATCAGCCTCTCTAGCCTGAAGCTCGTGCCTGAAGCCTGTGACGTTTCCTCCTGTCAGAGACTCTCAGGGCGTGGGATGTGCCCTGGCTCTGTGCTTAATAGGAGAACATCCCAAGAGGGTTGCTAAGTGAAGTGTTGCAAGGAAGGCCTGGTGAGGGAATAGCTAAGACTTCTATCCCTGGAGGAATCGGAAAGCACCCAGGAGAGAGGCTTTTCATCCATTTGTTCAGTCAGTCAGTCAACCGACATTTGTAGCACACCCACTCTTTTGCTAGTGGTTCTGTTTAGTCACTGTGGATTTGGTCCTACCACGTGATGACCCCACACGTGTGGAGCAGGACTATTCTATAGGACCTTTTGGAAACACATCACCAGGCCTTTCCTCCAGGGCACCTCAGGGTAGGTTTTCACCACTCCACCTTTCACCCAGTAGCAGAGCAATGAACCATTTGCTCTTCCCAGACTGGTGCTATCTTTTCTCTAGCCCCTCTCCATCTCTAGGACCATGGCTGGCCATCTGAACAATGACTAGTGGGGGAGAAAAGACCTCTGGGACCCCCCCTTCTGACCAGATAACAGTCTTGCCCTCAACCTGAAGACAGGAAGGAAGTTATTTATTCATTCAACAAACCTTGAGCATTCATGCCGAGCTGGCCCGTAGTGGATGCTGAGGACAGCTGGGGGAATAAGGA